ACTTAAGCTTTCTATAGGAGCACCAAATTTCTATAAGAAAGCTAACTTCAAGGGGTTATGATAACATTGTATACACTATAGAGTTGTGATTTTTTAATTTTTAACTACTACTAGTTAATAATACTTGTAAAAGCAGATACTCTGTTTGTCACCTCATTGAAATTGGTTGACACCATTGTTTTGGTTTTTGAGTTATCATGTAATAGAAAATGAAGGAAAAGAAAGAAGAACAAGAAATTCAAACTTTTTGCTATGATATTTACAGACATTCCCAGAACTTGTAACTCAGTCATTACATATATATTGTTATGAAAGGAAACATTTACAGTATTGTAAAGTTCTGATGACCTAGTCATTTCCAAGCCATCTCTACATAAGTAGTGCTACCTCCTGCGTAGTAATAACAGATACAAAATATATCGTTATTGTAAGCTTGAAAAGCAAATTTTGCAAGTTATTTTTTTCGTTTATTCCAACTTCTTAAAACTCAATCTGACATCAAAATAGTCAAGCTTGGTAGGTTTTTTGTTTCATTCATTAAGCTTTACAGTATAGTGAAAATACAATATCCAGAAAAAAGTTGACTGTCAGTTTTGTTAAAGTGATGTATGTGATGATTTTTGTCCATTGTTTGTAATCTATGCACCATGAGAACAAAAATAATTGCTTCTGGTTTATTTAAAATTATTTCAAATAGTGATTTTAGAATCATGGCTCATTATATTATTTTACAGATATAATAAAGATACAGATCGTGTTGAGATGAGTTGTGTTATGTTCAAGTCTAACCAGCTTCATCCAATTGGAGCCATGTTCCTATATATTTTTCATCAGTTTGGGTTAGTATGCTACCGACAAGGCTTGGGAGAAGACGGAAAGTATTCAGAATGCACAAACTTCACACTAGTCAACTTTGTTCTCAAAGTCATGGGACCTCTTCGTGAAAGAACTGTTACTGTCATACTTCTAGTATTACAGGTATGTACTGTTTTACATATGTTAATGCTACAGATTAGACTACATTTACGACAAAAACCTGCAAAGAATACCCAGTCATTATTTACATCACAAAACAACATGGTCTCTTTTTAAGATTGTCACAGAGGATTGAGTACTATGTTAAAAAGCTAGCGAGTCATGTCCATAGCCAATATAAAGGTATGTAGTCACAGTGGAATGGCATTTATCAGAAATACATTTTGACATTGTTTGGCATTTTGTAGGTAGCGTGATGCCATTGAAAATGGATTACTTTTGAAAAGGGTATGTAACAGGCCTTTTCATTGCAAGGTATTCATACACTCAGATCATAAATGTGTGTTTGGGTTGGGGATTTAGAATTTCCAAGATGGGGATATCCCTAGTATTTAATGGCATTGGAAAACAAAGGAATATGGATCAACTTAGATCAACATGAATATCCAGAAAGAGATCTGCAACTAGTCATATTCCAGCTGTGGTAAGTGAAACTATAAATAGAAGGGTCAGTTCATGCAACATAATTAAGATAGGGAAGTGACACAACTCATGTATGCTTCTATGACATATCTGTTCAACTGTTACATACCTCAAGCACCTAGAGAATGAAATTGATATTCATGCTATTTTATATGCAGACACAATAGTCAAGTCATTGGATGTAGTGGCTATGGATTTCTTTGTGACCTGAATGTTGAAACGAGGACTGGAAAACCATCATCTAAGTACACTAGATGGCTTATACAAAGTCTGTAGATAAGAGTGGTGTGTTTTGATTATGAAATCCTCATGACTGAGTCTTTTGCAATGGAAACTATGTTGCTGAGCTATTGTAAATTGCATGGGTGACAGAGAATGACTAGACACGGATAGATGGTCTGTTACAATGTGATGAGGCTCCAAAATCATTTTAATATAATGTACTTAATCTCTTTAGTTTTTGTATGTTACTGCTTATCACTATTAGAATTAACTGAAATTTTTAATGTCATATTCAGTCTGAATTTTAAGCAATTACTTTAGAATCATTCATAGATAATCCCTTTTAGTACAATAAATTTTTTTTTAATTATTAATTATTAGAGTTTGAGAATAAAATCTTGGCTGAAGTACATAGGTTCTCAGCTCTTTTAAATTGGATTGTGCTTCTTTCTTTGCTGATTTTAAAAATTTATTAAAAGATTTAAAACATTTACCATTTTGGATGAAAGCTCAGGGATCATGTGACTGAGCAAAGTGTCTTTAACCCTTTCGAGACAGGTCATAGGTGAAAGGCCATGTCATCTCATTTGTTGACTCGCATTCAAAATTTTATTGAACTACTATTTCATGAATTTATGTCATTAAGTTTGGTATCAAACTGTATATTATAATTGAAATTAAATTAATTTAAAAGTAAATATTAAAAACATAGATAAACATCCTTTTTTGTGTGTTGAATGCAGCACTGGTTTAAATTATATGTTTGTGAAGTCAAAATACTAAGTCTATAGTTTCATACGAATTAGAAACTCAAATTACAGATATTGGCAAGCTAGAATATAAAATAAAAAGACCTTATCTTTTCTGTTTTTTTGGGTTATTTCAAATGTATATATATAACCTCAAAAAAATTTTTCTTTTCACAGCTTTCACGTGGCAAATTTCATAAGGCTTAGCAAACTACATCATGCAGCAAATGAGTACAAAGGTCGTGACTACAAGAGATAATTGTTTGCTTTACTTCTTTATTTACTGTTCTATGTTGTAGGAAAAATAAGTTTAAGAACTTATTTCAAACTTGCAACATTCTACATACATAAATAATGTATAATAATTGAAATGTGACTGTATTTTACCAAGTACTAGCCAACTAAAACACAGCCAAGACAAGTTAATTTGTACAGACCAAAGGTCACCTTTATGTTATTTGATAAGATAACATGAGTGCATGTGAGCTGCGTCATTGTAACTTCTGTATTGTTAGCCAGGCAATATAATAAAAATAATGAATATATATATATAAATGTATAATGTTATGAGATTTAAGCTATTTCATCTAAAGATTTATGTTTTTGTGTTATAATTTATGTTCATTCTAGAATTAAAAAGGAATAGTTTATGTTTATTTCCTTATTTTTTATGGTAGTTGCGAGATTGGTCAAATCTACTAAACCTGTACAGAGATTGATTGCTGAAAATAACAGATAAGATATAAAGTTTTTTCTTAAGAAATGTTTGATAACTATCCGGACATTATAAAGATTTGGCATGTGAAATTTCAAAATTTCCTGATGCAGTATTTTTTAATCTTAAAATGAAAATTACTTTGCAAGATGTAAAAAAAAAAAGCATGAAAGAAACATTGCTTTTCAAACCTTAAGACTTAATGAAAAAATTAGATATTTTGCATATGAAAGTATTGTAATGTTTACTGATAATCTGCCAAATTTGGGGAAGATATACCCACTATATTGAGTTATAAGTATTAAATCTATAAAGACTTTAAACAAGTTCAAAAGTTCACGTGACTTGGTCAAATTGACCGACCTTCTAAGTTCTGACTTTTCTCTGTGGCAAAATTCGAGTTGCCTTCATTTTTGAGCTCAGTGGTCTACCATGCCCGAAGGCAACATAAAGTATCACCACACTCTTGGTTTTTGAACTCTCAACATAAGCCAGTCATATCTCAGAGATGCTACATGCATATCCATATTTTCCCAAATCGATATGCATAACATAGGCATGCTTGATCCAATTTCCTCACTGAGATCATGCAACTACCAATTACACACATTATTATTATTATTAATAATTCGTGTTCAAACAAAGAGAAAAAAACTGGACCGTATATAGTATTGATAAACGTAAGTTAATAAGTTATCAGTGAGGTGTCTTTTTGAGCACACAGCTTGCTGTATTTTTGATAGGATTGCTTGCCATGGGAGGTAATCATTAATTACACAAGGTATGAACCATAAAGAGATATCATTTTATATCACCTTTACTTGTTCATTTACAGCATGCAATCAAATCAATCTTATATTGTTGCCAATAATGGTATTTTTCATTTGCTCAGAATGTCTCTAGCAAATTGATTAGGGATAAACCATTTGGAAAAATCTGAAAGGCTGATAAAAAATTAGAAAAGAGTTTCACAAAGTTTGTATCAGAATAACTAAGACATACAAAGTGATTTTGGCACTTCGAAATTTGGGCATGAAAATCCTTGGAAAATTACAAATTATGACTGGCATTCTAAATGTAGGTTAAAAAAGAAAATAAGAATGGAAGGAAAATGCAGTGAACTTTGAACATAGTTTTATATTATTTTGAATGAAGACAGAATATTTTATTGATTTGGTTGAAAAAAAAGTTTTTAGATATTCTGAAGGAAAAAGTTTTTAAATTCATATAAATATTGACAAAGACACTTATCTGACAAACATACCTACATGTAATGTAAATAATTAACCTCTAAATAAACAGCACTTCCTTTAACTCTTTCGCGATGAGCTCGATATAATATACATGAGTTAAGCATTTATACTATAGCTTTTAATGCAGTAAGTGTATCTTTACAAAATTTGGTAGACTTTCCGTAAAGATTACAAGTCTTTTGTACACAAAAAATCATATTTTTTAATGAAGTATTTTTGTTATAGATTTATTTGTGAAAATATTGAGTCTGTTTCTTTACTAGTTGGAGTGCGAAGTGATTTTCATGTTATAA